CAACAACAATCTTGTGAGGTAAGTTGTTTACAGACTAATCTCAGCAGCTCACTGGCTTCTTTGCAGTGTAAGGTGTGCCTTTTCAATTGGGCTGGTATTTGCAATGCACTCTGATAAGTGCTGAACATTGCTCATCATGCAGAAGGTTCTTGGTGTATAAGAGAGTATGCTGAGATTCTACTGTCCAAGCTATATCAATACCAGACAAATCTTGTGCTCATTTACTTTATGGCATGATATAGCATTAATTTTATATCAAATGAGAATTTTTCATCACATTTCTTTGAGTACTTTTTACAAATCATATGCACATATCCTTAAGTTGTGACAGCTTGTGTTTCTCAGGTCAGAGAAAATCATCTTTGAACTAGCAGGTGTGATACACACCAGCTGTCATCATATGGGATACATTCATAAGAAATACTTGTCATGTGAAGTTGAGAATGTTATGTAAAGAAACTGTGGCATAAGCATAAAGTTTCACTCAAATATTTTAATTAAGATAGGTGAGTGCTGGAGGGTATTCCTCTTCCAATCAACACATAAAGAAATATTTCAGATGCTTCCACGTTGTTACTACTGCTAAAAAATATTTTGTTATTTTCTCTTCACAACATACCCTCAACGTTTTTTGTGACTATTGAATACACAAAATCTTAATAGGTGAAGGCAGGGTAGGGAAATTTTGGATTATAATTTTGTATCTTCTTTTCTGTATTATTAAGGTAGCACACCCTTAATCCTGAATTATACTAGATAGTTTTCACATCAGACTATGCTTCTCCATAAAGAAAGACTGAGTTAAGAGCAGCATGGACGGACACAATTAAATATTTTTGAAAGGCATCAGCATCTTTATCTACAATTAGATCTGAATATAACTTCTATCAAAAACAAAATGTAGTATGAACCAAAGATTGTTTACCCTATCAAAAAGATACTGGAATCAAATAGAATCAACTTCCAAGATTAAAATCTGTATGATAAACAGAAAGCCAATTACATCAAACAATAAAAACTTGGCTAAGCTCCACAAAGAACTCAGACCAGAACTGCTTATTAGCTACCCATGATCTCAAAACAAACTACATGTTTGTCTGGGATAGTATAGAAATAATCAACTAGCTTATTTCAGCAGAAGAGCCACAAAATTCCCTGGAAGCTGCATGCCCAAATAATAGATACATCAACAGAACAATAGCAGATATGATTTACTACCCAATCAGATGCAAGAACCAAACTATTCAAAAGAAACTATTGAGTTGGATCAATCAGAACAGACCAACCAGCACATCCAAGTATCAATCAATTGACACTTTCCAAGAAGCATCCAATCACTATCCAATCCCACATAATTCAAGACCATATAGATTCTAAATACAGTAAGGCAACTCCCACTTGGGCACCGTTGCACTGATGAAGCTTTGCATAAGAAAATGCATAAGAAAATGTCTGCAGCATTTGTGATGTACACTTGAGTACATGTCTTCCTGAGTCAAGAGAACCCAACATGACATATAATATCTGTAGTTACATGCTAAAATATGGACCTGAAAATCTTGGATTGCAACTGGGAAGATCAACTCAGAAAGCTCAAGAGTGATTTGGGGTCAATCACTCTTTCAACTCAGTTGACTTTACAAGACATTCTTTAACTATTTGGAGAAAAGGCAAGTCAGATCTCTTTCAGGTAAGAGAATTTGATATATTCTTTCAATATAGAACAATAATCTCATCTATTTCGTCAATATTCTCTAGGTCCAATAGAAGATAATATTTATAGATCAGGGTTGAACTGTGGAGCCCTTGGTGTTCTGGAGATGTTATCTAGTTTGGTAATGAAATATTTGCAAAAGCAAAACAAAACACCAAGGTTGGATAACCCCAAGGATTCCATAATTGTCTAGGTCACAGTCAGTTAAAGCTTCTGGTACTGTTGGCATAAAATACAGGATAACTGTATTTTGTAAGTAAGATGTTTTTACAGGCTAATATATAAACAGCCATTTACTCTACTGGAAAAATCATTTGTAAATAAACAGTAAAATCATCTTTAGTCATAAAGGAAAAAGAGGAGAGAAGAATTTAGCAGCAACAGTGGCAGCAACTGCATGTTCTTGGTATAGATAGAGAGTTATCTGAAATGCTCAAGTTTTTTGCAGCTGATTTTATGCTTGACATTTCCTATTCATTTTTTTTATTCCTTACTGTTTAGACATGGTAGGAATAGAATAGAATAGAATGGAATGGAATGGAATAGAATAGAACAGAGTAGAATGGAATAGAATGGAATGGAATGGAATAGAATAGAATAGAATTCTTTATTGGCCAAGGGTGATTGGACACACAAGGAATTTGTCTTCGGTACATATGTACTCTCAGTGTACATAAAAAATATACGTTCATCAAGAATCATAAAATACAACACTTAGTAATAGCCATAGGTTACTAATAAGCAATCAAATCATACTAGGAAAATGTAAAGATACAAGCAACATGGTTATAGTCATAAGTGGAAAGAGATAGGTACTAGGAAGGATGAGAAGAATAATAGTAATGCAGTCTTAGTAAATAATTTGATAGTGTTGTGGGAATTAGTTGTTTAGCAGAGTGATGGCATTTGGGGAAAAAAACCTGTCCTTGTGTCTAGTTGTTCTGCTGTGCAGTGCCATATATATAGCACCATTTTGAGGGTAGAAGTTGAAACAATTTATGTCCAGGATGTGAGGGGTTTGTAGAGATTTTCACAGCCCTCTTTTTGACTTGTGCAGTATACAAGTCCTCAATAGAAGGCAGATTGGTAGCAATTGTTGTTTGTTTTTTTGTTTTTTTTGGCAGTTCTAATTATCCATTGAACTCTGTGTCTGCCTTGTTTGGTTGCAGAACCAAACCAGACAGTTATAGAGGTGCAGATGACAGAATAATTCCTCTGTAGAACTCAATCAGCAGCTCTTTGGGCAGTTTGAGCTTTCTGAGTTGGCGTAGAAAGAACATTCTTTCTTGGGCTTTTTTAAAAAAAAATTTTTACATTTTTCAATAAACACAAACAGACAAAACACAACAAACACCACAAAAATATCTTCCATTACAAATTGTAAAGAGTGTGTCAATTGGTTACAAAGAGCTTTCATGCATCCCTTCCACAGTCATCATCTACAATTCATATGAGGTTATATGTTTTAAATCAAATATATTTATATATATTACTATCATCATACCTCAATCTTCATATGACTATGATTGTTTTTACGTCCCTTTATATAAAATATTCAAAAATTTAAAGCAAAACCACCTGATGGCATTCCATTATCTATTCTCAATATCATCCAGCAACATTACATCTTTATGACACTTTCTAAATAAAAAAATAATTATGTTTTATAACAAAGTTTCTAGACCTCCTTAATCACTGTTTACAATTTATATCCAATTTCCCTTTTGTCATGTCAATACAAATATTACATTACTATTATTATCAATCATTTATTTAACAACATCCATCATTTCATTTTTATTTTTTATTNTTATCAGCCTTATCCTGAAAGACTTTGGCAGACTCTTTACAAACTATTTGTGACTCATTACGGGCTGTGAATGAACATAATTCACAGCCATTGAAATAAAAAGAGGATTTTGGGGACTAAATGTGTGCTTTTTACTGTATCAGGAAGCCTAGATCAGAACAAAGTGGAGCACTACTGTATGTGAAAAATCAATTTCAGCTGGCCAGATTGCCATTATCCACCTGCTGTTCATAGGCAGTTGCTCAGACTGAAGTGCTAAGATGATCTCTCTTCTAGCAAGGTCTACGTATCCCTACATTCTATCAGTTAGAATGTTTGTTTCACGAATCAAAGAACAAAGAAAAGTCAAAAAAGTTTTTTTTTCTCCACTTTGAATGAACTAGGGTTGGAAAGAAGAGAAGTTAACAGATGAAAAATAAAATCAGTGCATTCTACATAGGATACAAATAGTGTTTCCCCCTCCCACCTCCTTCCCTTGTGCATGCCAAGTGGAATCTTTAAACCCACTGCAGCATGAAAATATTGCACCTGATGGACTGTGCAACTGGGATGTGCTTCAAGTGGGCAGAAAACAAAAAGCAGGAGCAAATAGAAAAGGGCACACTCTGCTCTTTGAAGAGTCACCAGCATGGGACTGGATTGCTCTAATCGGAGGAATGGGAACAGGGCAAAATAAAACATGTAAGGCACCTCTACAATTTCCTTCTACTCCTACGATGCACCTACTTAGCAGATGACTTTTCTTTCAAAAATAAATATTTTCTAATTTTGTTCTTCTTCATCGGCCTTATTCTCAGACTTCATCACATAACACAAATGATTGCATCAGCTTTATTGCATGCCTTTTAATTCATTATTGGACTTGACTTCGGCACCTATAATTCCAGGGTAGAAAGCCATGTTATATAACAGGGCTGTAAAAATCACGGCCCATGGGGTGTATGTGTCATGTCTGGCCACGCCCATGTCTGGTTTAGTGAAGGGGGGAAAAGTCACAATACGTCATGCGATGATACCGTAACGATGTGAGTTTGACACCCCTGATCTAAAGGTAAAGGTTCCCCTCGCATATATGTGCTAGTCGTTCCCGGCTCTAGGGGGCGGTGCTCATCTCCGTTTCAAAGCTGAAGAGCCAGCACTGTCCAAAGATGTCTCCGTGGTCATGTGGCTGGCATGACTAAATGCCGAAGGCACAAAGAACACTGTTACCTTCCCACTAAAGGTGGTTCCTATTTTTCTACTTGCATTTTTACATGCTTTCTAACTGCTAGGTTGGCAGAAGCTGGAACAAGTAACAGGAGCTCACTCCATTATGCCTCACTCCATTACCCCTGATCTAGAAGCACACACAAATGCAGAAATAGATTTTTTTTTAAGCTGATACACCTAGATCAAACGAGACTTGAAATCTGCTTACAGGTACATGAAGGAAGGCAATAAGGATGACATGCATATCTACTAGAAAGTGGGACATACCTGTGTAATGGATTACAAATCCTGTATTGCTGACAGAAGCATCACTGCGGAAGGCCAGGAAAAGGTTGTTGCTGCTGCTCTCAATCCTTTCTGGTACTTGGGTATCATAGAAACTCCCAATCAAGGGACTAACTGAACTGGCACCATCATAGATGTGCAAGAAATCATACCCTGGTTCCAAATTAAACCTGAAAGGGAAGAGAAAAGAAAACTAAGTGTGTCAAGTATCTGACTACCAAGAACAGGGATATAATGGAATTCTCTGAACCTCAGAACAAAAATGAACATTTGCAAACCATTGAACGACAAGAACAGATGCATATTCATAGCTCAACAATGACTTAGCCAGCTCCCTTGTTCTATTAAGAAACATTTTAGAGCAGTGTTTCTCAACCTCAGTGAATTTAAGATGTGTGGACTTCAGCATCCAGAATTCTCCACCCAGCAATGCTAGCTAGGGAATTCTAAGAGTTGAAGTCCACACATCTAAAAGCCAGCAAGATTGAGAAACACTGCTTTAGAAAAAGGATCAAAGGCAGCAAGGGAGACCCATCTCAAGACAGCTGCTGATTAAAGGGACTACAATACAATATCTTCTGTAATCTAGCCTCTTTTTTCTTTACAACAAATCCAGATAATGAGATGTGCGACAATCAAGCTTTCTGCTACTGACAGGAGATTGACAACTGATCCTTTTAGTTCTTTGTTGTCCTTTTAGAAAGATTTATACTCAAAGTAGGTGTTTATGGGAGGTGTAGAGGAGCACAGAGGAGGAACATGGAGAAGGTATGCAAGGACTGTTTGCAAAATATAAGCTTAACCCAAAAAATGAAGACAACATCATGGTTGTTCCACCTTGACTTCTTTTGGTTTAAAGAGAGGGAAGGAATAATTATCAATATTTCATTATTATAGTCCATATCAGCAAATAAAGTTCTAGTATTTCTTGTGGCACTTGTTTCCAGGCCTCGTCTATAGCAGGAGGATTAAAAAGGGCAAATTTGGAGGGAAATTGTCACTTTCAGTCTTTAGCTCCTCGTATAGAGGAGAAACTTTTATGCATCTCTGTCATTCATAAATATGGGACCTGTGACCTCCAAACTTTAGATCTTGCAAGTGTTAGATGGAGGGATGCCACCCTATTGTAAGAATTAAAGAGAGATAAGGATTTGGGAAAAGGTGTTCAATATTCTAAATAAATGTGATTGGGTTACTCTGCTAAGTGACATAGATGGATGGATGGATGGATGGATGGATGGATGGATGGATGGATGGATGGATGGATGGATGGATGGATGGATGGATGGATGGATGATGGATGGACATAAGATGTGAGTGAAGAAAAACATTGATTGGTTCCACTTGAAGAATGAAAAAGAGAAGGACTGCTGATTTGGCAGTCTATTTCTTTCTATACATGGAATAGTAAAAGGATAATTTAAAAGCATAGTTGCTTTGATGTTTATGATGAAAAATAGATGGAATCAGTGAAAGACTCAGGGGTCATGAAAAATTCTATATGTGGGGCAGATATGTAGTAAGGTCAAAGGTGGGGAAAAATGGAGGTAGAAAAAGAACTAAGTAATGCAAAAATAAAATGGCCACAAGGGAAAAAAAGAATGAATCTTGTATTAGAAAATAGATTCTTCTTTGAAAAGAATGGGTGGAAAGTAGACAGAAGGAACCAGCCAGTGTGGCATAACAATGGAAGCATGGAAAAGAATTACTGCTGCCCCAAAAATGATGATGGAAATATATTGTGTAATGTGTACATAGAAAAAAATAGTTATCTCTTGCATATGTATGAAAATAATGTAGTTAAACAGACCGAGAAAGCAGTAACATGATGGTTTAGTTTAGTTTAGTTTCTGCAAGATGATACAGAAAGATTGTGATGGAAATTGTGTGTATGTATGTGACTTTGTTCTCCAGGCTTTGCCTTAGAGATTCTCTTTTCCTGGATGCTAATTATTGGTGAGATGTTTGCAGGTACCCCAGTTCATTACCTCACTTCTTTCTTTTTTTCTCTGAATTACAGTTTTATTTATTTGCTTTTTACATATACTGTTTCCATATTGTTCAGTGCATTGTGAGCTGTCCAGAGTCATTTGGAGTTGGATGTCATAAAATCAATTGACAAATTAAAAATGAAACTGTGCCTGGGGCTTAAGGAATGTCCTTGTTATTCCTGCATACAAAGCTACAAGCACAGAAACAAGAGTAAATGGAAAATTTACACAATTTTTACTAAGTATGTCTGGGAAGAGACTTGGTGGAATTCTGATTAATTGTGTTTAAGAGGTGGCAATAAACAAAATGCAGGAAGTGGGTTTTATGTCTGGGTGTACCAGTGGTGGGTTCCAGATCCCATTCCAACCAGTACAGTTGGAACAGGCCCGGTGGCATGCATATGGACAGGCACAGCACGCGCATGCATCTTAGTGCCTCCGTGAGCCTCCGTGACATTCCAGCTGCTCAGCGGAGCGTCACACAGGTGCTGTATGCACCATGCATGTGCGTGGCAGCGCAGAAGCTTTAAAACACAAGTAAGAAGCTCGGGCGTGCAGGTGGGCCCTCCAGAGCACCGTACCGGAATGGTATCCCGTGCTCCGGGCAGGCTCCGGTATGCCTGTATTGTGGCGTACCGCCTGCAACCCACCATTGCGGTGTACAGACAAGAATTTTTGCTCTTTGGAAAGCATTGAAAAATATATGAATGTAAGGAAAGAACTGCATGTTTGTTGACTCAGAGAACATTTATGACAAAAGTGAATTGACTTCAATTATGAAAAAAAAATGTATGTTTATGGAAAGTGGTAGAGCTATAGATTGCAAATTGCTATAAACTGTATGAAAGGATGGTTATATAAATTGTATGGAAAGATGGTTGCTGAAAGTGGTAGAGCTGTAGATGATGAAAATAAGGCATGAATATAACCGCAACAAGATTATTATATGCACAAAGATGGAAAGATTCAGCATTATCTATGATAGAGGAATGGTTGGTGAAGATGATGGAATTTGCTGAGATGCTTAAATTGACTTCTTTGATCAGAGAAGAGATAATCTCTATGTTTATCTGAAACTTCTTGTAGACATTTTATGTGAAATTGAAAAAAAATGAGTTTATGATTTACAGTTTTGATGTTTACACAAAACAGATGATAAAAAAGAGAATTATGTTGTAACCATAGAGACAAATTAATAATTAAACTTCTAGCTGGTTTAAAGTAGACTGGATGTTACTTCTTTAAATATTTTTTTTAATTTCTTTTCCTCTTTCCTTTTCCTTTTTATGTATTTTTTCCTTTCATGCACTTTTAATATTTTTTTTTGTTTTTTTCTTCTTTTCTTTTTCTCATTCATTGATTTGCTTGCATGTCCCTTCCTAAAACATTTAGTAAAATATGACAAATGAATTTAATTAAAATATTTTACATTTTTAAAGAAAAAAAGCATGAGTGAGAATAAATGACTATCTAACGGATTAAAGAGCAGGAGTTGTAATGCTCCCTTGGCTATTCAGCGTATTTATGGATAAATAGATATAAATAGTGGTGGCTGCAGACTTGTGTTGAGTGGGAAATGAATTGATATATATTTTAAGCCAGGTTGTAGGCTTAAATGCAGAATGATCTGCAGCAAATGTTACGATGCAAAAAGCAGGGTAGACTTGAAAACTACTGTAGTGAATCTCAAAGTTGCGCTTCACTGCAAAAACAGAGTGCAGGTTATGCATCAGTAATAAAAACTACAGTACGTAGATTAATTTGAATACATTGGTGTTACGTTTACTTAAAGTTGGGAACTTTAAGATGTGGGAATCCTACTGGAAGATGTGGTCTGCTTCAAGAAATGAATATTTTATGAAGTAAGCAAAATCAGCTTTGTATAACAATGTCCTTCTATCTGGGTTTTTTTACAAGTACTCTTCAATTTACAACTACACATTTAACAATGGTCAGGAATTACAACAGCCTTGAATTGGGGCTTTACAGTTTGTAAAGTACTTTTGGCCATTACAAAATGTTGCACACAACCCTGAGGTCATGTGATCATGCTCTGGATGCCTAGCTAAACTACTCCCCATTTTTGATCAATAGATTTTCACTCACTTTGGGGCAGAGAGATTTTAACCTTTTTTCCAACAGTCTTCCTATGATCATGTATCAAGGCAGGTCTTTCCCCAAATAATAGAGAAGGTTTGCAATGATCTGTTGACCTAATTGATTCTCATGTCTGTGAATCAACCCCCTAGGAGCTGAGGTGGTGCAGTGGTTAGGGTGCAGTACTGCAGGCCACTTCAGCTGACTGTTATCTGCAGTTCAGCGGTTCTAATCTCATTGGCTCAAGGTTGACTCAGCCT